GCTCCTGATCCCTTCTCAACACCACCGCTTCCGGATTGCCCACAGGAAATCAGCCAGGCTCAGAGGACCGAAGTGGTGGAGAGAGGGGATTGCACCTGTTTATGGACATAACTGCATTTGCTTTTGTTGATTATTTTGTATCACTGTGTATTAAAAATGTATATATTGGATCATCTCCCTCTCTAGTCTTCATAATCTGTTCGTCTTCTTAGATCGTAAACTGGTTGGAGCAAAGACCATCTTTGTATGTTTGTACAACACTTACTACATGAGGGCCCTGGTTGAGGCTACTGTAATATGAATACAAATACACTTTGCAACTGAGGAAACTGAAGCAGAGGAAGTGACTTGTGCAAGGGAATTGGTTTGGGAGCTGGAATTAGAACTCAGGATTTCTTGATTTCCAGTTGAGGGCTTAAGCCACCAGACTTCACCTCACTCTGCCCCCTGGGCCAGCTGTTATTTTTAGGGATAGTTACGTTTCCTGGCTTTATGCAAAAATCCCATCATACATAGAATCATAGAATATCAGGGTTGGAAGGGACCTCAGGAAGTCAGCTAGACCAACCCCCTGCTCAGAGCAGGACCAATCCCCAACAATGCTATGATCGCTATAATCACATGCTATAACCGCTATCAGTTTTTGGTTTAAATACGTTTATCTTTACATCTGGTCTACATTTCCTAGACACAGCTAATTTTAAAGGCACACTGACAAGGCCTCCCATTTCAAATCAGTACTAATCTCTAGTGCTTTTCAAACATGAATTAACTTCCTCTCACTTTCTGTCACAGGGTGTATGTCATAAGGGCACTGTCTGGTCCCCATGGAATAGGTTCCTGGTCCATGACTGGGGTGTCTATGAGCTACAATGATCCAAATAATTGAGGTGTTCACTTCAGCTCTGCTTTCCCTGCCCCTTGCTCAATGATTGTTTTTAAGGCAGAAGGGGGCCCTAGTGTTTGGAGTGAAAATCTCTGTCCTTTCTCTTAGGGTAGTTCACACTTCCAGTTCTAGGCCCTGGTTCAGGACAGCACAATCAGTGCATCTTAAGCACATGCTTATGTGATGTCTTGAACAGCAATGCTTTCCTGACTCTGACCCCTACACTCTACTTTTGTGGGAAAGACCTTGCTGAATTTGGGGTTTTTCCCCCTCTGCCTAGTCATTCTCTGAGTTCACAGCCCTTTGAAGTAGGCAAACATCAATTCCTTTTACCAGTGGGAAAACTGAGTTGTGGAATGATTTGACTAAAGTCACACTGGAAATCTGGGGTAATGGTGGAAATAGAATGTGAGTCTCTTGACTCCTAAGGCTTCTGCCCCAACCACAAGACTTTCCTCCTTTCTTAAAGTTGCACTGTGTTAGCCAACTACTGCTGGTTATAACCAAAACCAATCCCTTCAATGCTGTGGAACTAACATTAAAAACACCGTACCTCTCACCTTAGGTCCTACACACAAACTCATCTCTGCATATGTTGTAGAGTGCACATATGCAGGATGCTCTGCCTGGGAGATGTTCAGTGAGAGCAGAGCTGGTTTTGTGACCCCCTTCCTGTAAAGTTGGTTACTCTGTCAATATGGAAAGATGAAGTTTTCTCGTGAAGTTTTCTGACCAGTGGCCTTCTCCATGAGTGCACCACATTCACATTCCCACCTCCCCTGGATATCTGTCTTTTGCCAGAACACATTTATTTTGAGCTGTTGGGAGCTAGTGAGTATTTTCACACAGCTGCAGAATGTGTCTCAGATGAGATGTAAAAACCAACGACCTGTTCTCTTGTGGTTAGTAAAGCTCCTACAGCCATTTTCACAAGAGTAGGAGTGTCAACCCCCAGCTTCTTGGCCAACTTGGAGTATTGTATTCTGTCTGCCTTCCATTTCTAGTGGAGATAGGATTTTTTTCGTCACTTCCTGCTTTACCCTATGGTGTAGCATTGGTGTGCTTAGTTAAATATAGCAGTTATTTCAACCAGAGCTGGCTGCATTTCATTGCTGAGTGAAGCATCACATGCAAAAAGTAGTAATGAAAAGCGCACCGTGTAAACAGAGATGGAATTGTTAGCTGCATGTATAAAGAGACTGATGTTCATAGCTGCCTTAATGCTTTCATTCCAGTGTTCTTATTAGAATTTGAATACTGGGTTAAATTCTGTACTGCTTTATATTCTGTACAACTCGTGGCCTGAGTTGTCTTTGCAGCTTGTATTTTTCAGTCTCTCTGGTCTCTCCGGTCTCACCCCCCAAGTCATGTTCTGTCGGGTTAGACAGCTTTGTATCAATGCAGACAGTGACAGTGCACTTTATGTACTACTAAGAGCTTGTGTATACAGGAAAGCTGTCATGGTATAAGGTAAGATGTGAATTTAAACCATGTAGTTATACCGGTATAGCCCTCTGTGTAGAAAACCTTATTTGGATATAAAAGTGCCTTTTTTCAATCTGGCTTAGGTTGCATGAGTCAAGGTTTAGGCTAAACCAAAAAAAGCCACTCTCATAGCAGAATAAGAGTGTCTACACCGAGGGTTATATCGGTATAGCTGTGCCATGAGAGACAGGCTAAGGCAAGGACTTCCAAGGCTGTGCTGGGCACTGATGTATTGCACACAGTGTGCAGAGTATGTATTTGGGGAGAAAGAATGATCTTGTGGTTAAGGAACAGGTCTGGGTTTTGCCACATTGATGGTGGGAAAATCACTTCCCTCCTCCCTTCCTCAGTTTCTCCATCTGTAAAATGGGAATGACAGTTCCCTACAGGGACGTTGCAAGGTTTAGTTCGTTAATGTTTGTAAAGTGCTTTGAGGTCCTGAGATGGAAGGTGCAAATGTGTCATGCAGAGCAATACTGACTCTTATTAGGGTGTGCCCAGAGGGCAGTTATTGTATTTGGGGGAAAGCTTTGACATCAACTGTTCGCAAAAAAGCCTAGAACTTCATGTGCAAGTTCCTGGGATGCAGGCCTTGGCAGAACCTTTTTGTGCCTGAAGACCTAACTGGGTCTGGAAGCCCTTCCAAAATACTGGACTCCCCAGGCACCGAATGGGACCTAGCTCATGCTGCTCTCCTTTCCCAAGAGCTGTCTGCTGTAGCATTTGCTGTGGGTGGCACCCCGGTTTCTGGTGCCTTCCCCATACTCCAAATCACATGTTTAAGAGTGGAGAACCCCACTTCCTCCCACAGGTCCAACCCCCTTCCACAGCCTCTGGGAGGCAGGCATTAACCCCACAAATATATGCTGCATCTGGACATAAACCAGTGACTTTATCTGGGCGGGGCGATAGCTCGATGAGTGCAAGGAGCCATTCGGCAGCTCCTCATGGAGTCCCCCCGCAGCTATAGCACAACATCCTGAGTCCGCGGTGCCAAAATACAGAGCACTACTGTCGAGCCTGAGTAACAGTCCAGACTGCCCCAGCTCCAGTGCCAGAAGAGGGCTCCTCTACCCCTGCAGGGACCACGGGTGCTTGGGAGCAATGCCAGCCCTGAGTGGTGATTCCTGTCTCTGCTGGGTTGCCGGGTGTCTGTCTCTGTGGTTGCCATGATGGTCAGGTCTCCTCTGCTGTGTCTGGACCATGCCTCTCGTCTGGCTGCAGCTGTGCCCTGACCTGTTCAATGTGCCAGGCTCCAGCCCCCCAGATCCAGGCTGCATCTGGGTCTGCTCCCTAAGGCAGCTGTAGCAGCTTACTGCCCAAGCCCTTGGTCCTCTTCCCACCACCAGAGCCAACCAAGTGTCCTGCAACCAATCCCCTGTCCCAACTTGGGTCGGGCTGAGCTCCTGCTGTCATTTGCTTCCAATGAGAGGTAGAACTGGCGTGGGATTTCCTCCCAGCCTTTTAACCAACCAGGTCTGGGGCACAGGGGGCCAGGTCCCCTCTCTGCCCACCCATGGAGGGTGAGGTGGAGGGCTGGTGCTTGTACACTGCTGCCACGTGCCTAGTGAGTGAGGGGCTCCACAGCGCAATGCAGAGAAAAGCCACAAACAGATGTCCATACAACAGGCATTCTCAGTACTATAGCGAGCCTGTAGCAGGGCAGGGAAAGTTGAGCAGGACAGGGGACAAAATCCTATGCAAAGTAATGTCCAAAGCCTGCCTTTCTGTATGGAGGTCTGTATGGGTAGAACTAAATCTTTCCAGGCCACAGTCTGTTGGGTCAATAACCGCCCACTTGTGCAGCATATTCCTCTTGAATGTGGTTATATTTCTGCCTAATACAGAGCCAGCCCAATATTCAGCTTCTGAACGTCCAGAGGGAAATATCTCATTAACCCCTATTTGTATTCAACTCTGAATACTAAACATGGCCCCAGTGTAGACCCCAAAAGCCCCTTCCCTCACAGGGCACGTGGACATATGAAGACTCATGACCCTAAGAGTGTGGCTTGGTGGAGCATATTCTACTCAGCAGACTCTGGTCACAGGTGAGTGTCTTCCCTTTCCAGCTGTACACTGAGCTGGATAAACATGTATAGCCTACCAGTGGTCTGAGATGATGACTTGTATATATCCCAGTTACATGGAGAGGCCTAAGGCAGGTAATGCCATCTGTCATTCCAGTCTGCTTTCCACACTGCGGGAAGCTCTCCGTGGAGTTACAGCTTGTACAGTCCCACTGGCTTCCTTTGACCATGGCTGTAAGTAGGAGTGAGCAAAATGGCCATAGTGATCAGTGGGGAGGGGGGATGAATGGAGCAATGACATCGGCTGATCAGTGGCTTCGCTCACCTGCTCTAATACAGCCTCTCCCAGTAGTAGCTGATAATATTGGCTGGTGAAATGTGACTGATGAAGTGTTTTACTTATTATCCATGATTCTGTCTGTTAGTTTTACATCTTTGTGGGCCTTAGGAACCCCTCTCCTAGGAGTGTCCACAACTTGGTGGGTGCATTGGGTGCCCTGTTAATTCTGTAATGATTGATTTGCTGTTCACTGTCTGTGAAGGATCTAAGTGGGTCGATGCAGATAGTAACAATGACTTGTCTGGCTATTGTTTCTCAGTCGGAGGATCTTGGTGCCTGTGCCCAGTTTGAGAGCAGCAGACAGAACAGAAATATGATGCCTAGTGCCAGCTGTGTCTTCCCTACCTTCACCCTACGAAAGCCCTCCTCGGAGACGGACATTGAGAACTGGGCCTCCAAGCACTTCAACAAGCACACCCAAGGGCTCTTCCGGAGGAAGGTCTCCATTGCCAACATGCTGGCCTGGAGCAGCGAGTCCATCAAGAAGCCCATGATCATGACCAGCGACCGCAACGTCAAGAAGGAAGCATGTGAGATATTTAAACTGATTCAGATGTACATGGGGGACCGGCGGGCCAAGGCAGATCAACTCAACGTGGCTTTGGAGATCGCCACCAAAGGCTGGAGCATGCAGGGTCTGAGGGACGAGCTATACATCCAACTGTGCCGGCAGACCACTGAGAACTTCCGTTATGAGAGTCTGGCACGGGGCTGGGAGCTACTGGCTATTTGCCTGGCCTTCTTCCCGCCCACTCCCAAATTCCATTCCTACCTAGAAGGATATATTTACCGGCACATGGATCCGGTGAATGACACCAAAGGTAAGAGAGAGACTGCTGTTGGTTGATGTTTACCCTAAAGAACTTGAAACCCTTTTTTCCTTTTGTACTGTGCATTGTGACCTCCCTGTGAGACGAGTGAAGCACTTGTAAATAACCGGCCAGCCGGAGAGGCTTAGCGAAAGCATCCATAGGCTTTAGCACTGGCCTTTCATCCCTGGGACACTGTGAAATCCAGCATGAGATCCAGCATGAAATGAGCTCAATAGCTTCATGTTAGACCTAAATGACAACTAATGGTTTCACCAAGCACCAGCTGGGCTCTTTTACACATGCACACATGCCACATGCACACATGTGTAACGTACAGATGTTTGGGGCCTTCTTCATCTCTGCTCAGGGCCCACACAGTCCTGCGCTGGTCCTCAGCGTGTATTTGTTCTGAGGAGAAATGTAAGTAGCCAGACCTGCCTTTTGCTTATCTCTAGTGATGAAAATGTCACAGATTGCTGCGGTGTGATTTTTAACGATGTGCATGTCCTGCCGGTTCGCGAACACTGTCAGCAGAGAGCAGCCAGGCTATCCGGATGGCCCTCTTGATTATGGCAAGTATGGAAAAAGGGCTCCTCTGCACATTCAGAGTCCGATTTCCTGACTTCAGTGACAAAATTCCATTTTCTACTCCTGTTAGCCCTGCAGAGGCAACCCAGCTGTGGGGAAGGGAGCTGGATTATCTCCTGGCTTTTGCATCATCATCAGAATGATTAACTCCGTTCCAACAGCAGAATCTTATTATCAGTGATGATACAGAAGCTGGAGAACAGCACCCAGCTTTACTCAGACGTGAGGGGCAGGCTGCGGAGCTGGCAGCTGGAAAAAACAGTTTCTCATAAATTTAGTACATTTCATCTGGCGTCCGTGAAAGACCCCCACAAGGCCATTGTTAAGGGTCCTTTTCAGAGCTGAACTGCACTTCAGAAGTGACAACTTCCTGTACTCCCCCTCTGCTGTGCAAGTTGCTATCTAGACAGGCAAGCTTCACAATGCTAATCTCACTTTGGTGAGCACAGCATTAAATCTGAATATACATGCTCATTGCACAGGTTTGAAGCCATCAGAGCTATTAGGGCCTGCTCTTGCTCCCTTTGACTTCGCTGGGAGCAGGATTCAGGTCCTAAATGAAGATGAGGCAGTGGGATTGGCAGCATTTTGTTCTGGTAGCCCAACGGGTGTGCACAAGCATGTAGTCTGAGCCTGCTTCTTCATGGGAGCAAATCCTTACAGTGCTCTTGAACTGATGCGGTTTGCAGGGGTGGGACAGTGTAAAGGCTTCCATGTGCTCTTCGCAGGAGCAGGGGAAAAGCTTGCACCACCCAATCTCATTTTGTGCAGTGTCTGTCATGCCAGCTGTCTCCCAAAGTGCACATGCTTCGCAATGGGAAATACACCAAGCCAGCTCCTCCTTGCTTTGCACTGCGTCACTAGTGTGACATTCATGTAAACTTGCTTTAGGCAAGTCTGGAGAGGATCACCCAGGTGTAGGGGCTCCCAGCTGCTTACAGCCTAGCAGGGAAAAGGGCATGACTGGAGAAAAGAGAGTATGGTTGGGGCACACCCATAACACATTGATCCTGGGCTGCACTTTCAGCCCCCAGTGCCCATTGGAGCCCCGTGTCAGTCAGCAGCCTGGATATTGCTCTGTCACTCAGTGCCTGGGGGCACAGCCATGCACAAAGCAATGCCAGGATCAGGGGAGTGCAAAGGAGAGCATTTCACACCCCACCCCCGGACCCAGATGCAGGCAGCAGAAGAGATGGTTTCAGGTGAGGTTTGAACACAGAAAGAACATTGATAAGATACAGGAGAAGGCTCACAGACCAGGGCTGACCAGGGCACTGGGAGAAATAAGAAAAATGTTGCCACTCGATGAGCTAAGAAGAGGCTGACAGTCATGGAAGGTTTGTAAATGTCCCTAGATAGGCAGAGGGCATTTTGGACTGTATCTGGAAGTGAGTGGGGAGAAGTGGAGGCAACAAACCTAACTGGCTTCAAGACTGAGCTTGATAAGTTTATGGAGGGGATGGTAGGATGGGACTATCTACAATGGCATGTGGCCCATTGGCGACTGCCGGTGGCAAAAATCCCCGACTGCTGGAGACAGGACACTAGCTGGGGAGGGCTCTGAGTTACAACAGAGAATTCTTTCCCAGGTGTCTGTCTGTCTGATCTTGCCCACATGCTCAGGGTCTAACTGATCGCCACATTTGGAGTTGGGAAGGAATTTTCCCCTGGCTCAGATTGGCAGAGAGCCTGGGGCGGGGGCGAGCGGGATTCAACTTCTGCAGTATGAGGCACAAGTCACTTGCAGGTATAAACTAGTGTAAATGGTGGATTTTCTGTAACTTTAAGTCTTCGTACCATGATTTGAAGACGTCAGGAACTCAGCTAGAGGTTAAGGGTCTATTACAGCAGTGGGTGGGTGAGGGTCTGTGGCCTGCAATGTGCCAATGGTCAGAGTAGATGATCATGCTGGTCCCTTCTGACGTTAAAGTCTATGAGTCTGTGACTGGAAGGGAGATAAGGATGTGTTTCTCTTGTCTACACAGCAACTAGACATCTGCAGCCAGCCCGTGGCAGCTGACTAGAGCTTGGGCTGCAGGGCAGTTTTCACTGTGTGGACTTGGGCTGGAGCCTGGGCTCTAGGACCCAGTGAGCTGGTGGTGGGTGTCCCAGAGCTTGGGCTCTAGCCTGAGTCCAGAAGTTTACAGAGCAAGGAAACAGCCCTGCAGTCTGAGCCTGAATCAGCTGGCATGGGCCAGACATGGGTTTTTCTTTCTGTGTAGACGAGCCCTGAGCTGCATTCTGCATGGGCTGGTGTTCAGGCCATCGAGAGGGCGAGGAGGAAGTTAGGCCTCAGCACATTCCCATCTTTCTCTCCAGGCTCTGCTGGTGAGCTGGAAAGAGGAGCAGCTGCATCTTTAAAAGCTGCCCCTCTGCAAGTTCGATTTCAGCTCTGACCCATTAAGTGTCATTTCCCTATAAATGTCACCTGCAATATGGCAATCCCTGAGTCATCTGCTTTCCACCTCCTTGCTGTCTGGCGCTGCAGGTAGAGCTAGTAATTGGTTACTCTAGACACTATTAATGTAAGGCTTTTATTTTCAATCATGAAGCAGTAAACCATATATTAACTCCTGACCGGGGCAAGCCGCAGCTAATGCTCTCTGCCTGACGACCATTCAGGAGAAAATTATTTTTTAACGAGGTGTGAAAATGCATTAAACTGTTTCCTTTTCCTTTACCTTATAATAACTCACCAGGAGTCCCTGAGATGACAACGCTACAAAATCAGAGAGAGAACAAAGGTGCCAACACCTTTCCTGGCAGGCTGGAGCTGCAGACAGTCATTAAAATAAGCCACGCAGTTGGCTGTGAAGTTTCCTTTATTTCTTGACCCACGTTTCCCCTGCTGTATAGTCAACAGCTTCTTAAGCAACGTCCTAGTCTCAGGAGGGAAGAACTCTCTCTGTCCCTTCAGCTCCCATCCAGTACGTGTGGTGCCCCGGGGGACAAACATTGCTCTGCTTGTTTGACCTGGACTCTTGAACAAATGCCTTAAATCTAGTTTCATCAACAGCATGATGTGCTGTTTGGTTGATTCTCTTTATTACAGCTCTGCATTGGAGCCTACTGTCTGGTGTAACCCCTGCTGGTCATTCAAACCAAGGCTGGGGAGCAACCCTCTGTTTTCCCTGCACACTAGCACTTAGGCTCATCTTGACAGCAGCTGCTTAAGGGTTTAGTCTTGCAGAAACACAGATATCAACATGTGTATACAAGTTTGTTAATTATACGTAGCCTGGTTCCTCCTTCTCCATGGCCTTCCCAAGTCACAGCTGTCCAGGTGCCTCATTCATCTCCTGATCTGGTTCAAAATCCCCCCTTCCCCACTTCTGTTAAAAGGCTCGACTTAGGGTATGTCTATACTAGAAACGTAAGCCACCACAGTAATCAGCTCTGCTGGCAGCTTCCTGCTGAGACCCTGGCTGCCTCACAGGCTCCCAGGCTCCTGGCAGGCTGCCCCCATCCCCTGCTACTGGGAGTGGGGTCCAGCCACCCAGACCTCTCGCCCTGACTCCCAGCCAGGAGTGGGATCCAACCACCTAGCTTTCCAGGGAGCTGGGGGGCAGGTGGGCCCTTGCTTCCCAGCTTTCTTCTCAGTTTCATGGCTCATGCCATGAAATTGACAAGACTGCCAGCAGTGGATGTAAGGAACACAGTGTCTAGGGGACACTGCATCACCCTAACTACACCAACATAAGCCCTACGCCTCTCATGGAAGTGGAGTTATGTCGGTGTAGTAGGACACTGACATTGGCAGTGACACAGATCGACGTAAGCTGCCTTATGTCAACCTAACTGTGTAGTGTAGACCAGGCCTCAGTCCAAGCAACATTACCATCTAAGTGTGTCTTGTCCTTCCAAATCCCTCTCTGTCCCTGCTCAAAATCTAGTCACCTATTGTGCAAATGCCTTCTCCTGTGCATCTCCTGCTGCCTAGAACAGCCTTTCTGTATCTCTCCATCCATTTCAAATCATAGCTGAAAACCTCTTTCATCCTTGTCTCTCCCTCTTAGCCTCTCTCTGCCTTAAATTATGTACAGCAAGACCCCTTAAATCAAGTTGGAGCATCACAACATGGGTCTTGTGTTTCCCAGAGGCTGCATATGTGAGTTAAAGATCTATTGAATCTATCTGATCTACTGGCTTGTCTGGTCCCCATCACCATAAACAATATTTGGGCATCGCCTCCACATATTTAAAAGTAGATACAGCAATAACCATTTCTCCCTTCTCAGTCTGTGGGAGAACTAGCCGGATTAATAGTTTAGCATTTGTGGGGGAGTGAGTGTGTTGTGTATACGAAGAACTTACTAAGGGAAGATGAAATCTGAGAGATGAGGTTTTTTAGATTTAGTTCCAAGTGATGAGGGCTGTCATCTCATCTCCTGTGGCATTGAGTTCCACAGTCTAGATCTGTC